GGTTCGAGGCCCGGTCTGGGAAGATCCCACATGCCGCGGAGCAACTAAGCCCGTGTGCCACAACTACTGAGCCCGCGTGCTGCAGCTACTGAAGCCCACGCGCCTAGAGCCCGTGTTCTGCAACAAGAGAAGCCACCGCAGTGAGAAGCCCACGCACCTCAACAAAGAGTAGCCCCTGCTCGCTGCGACTAGAGAAAGCCTGAGCACAGCAACGAAGACCCAATGCAGGCAAAAAAATAAATAAATAAAGCACACCAGCTCCTTTCAATGGCTGCTTGGATGACCATTGCCTGGATGCACCATCGGTCACTTAGCCAATCTCCTCTCCTGGGAGGTTAGGACGGTTGCAATTTGTTTTTTCCATTTTCAACAGGCTTCAGAAGATGATCTTGTAGCTAATCTGTGGCCCATTCATGACTACTTTTCTTTCACACAAATTCCTAAGAGTGGAACGGAGGGTCAGTGGGGTGAACAAGTGTTGAAAAATCTATGCACTTGTGGGACTTCCCTGGTGGTCCAGGGGTTAAGACTCCTTGCTTCCAATGCAGGGGGCGTGGGTTCAATCCCTGGTCGGGGAACTAAGATCGCGCACGCTTCGCGGCCAAGAACAAAGAAAAGAAAAATCTATGCAGTTGAGCTGCGTTTCAAGGGTTCAGGGGAGGGGAGAGGGGATTTTAGAGGAGGGAACACCGTGGGCAAAGGGTGGGAAATGGCATCGGGAATTCCCTAAAGGTCTTTGGGGGAATAACAGGAAAGACTTGGCTTCCTGTCCAGAATCCCAGGGAAGTGGGATGGTGCGGCTGCGACGGTCTCCTGTGCATCCTCCCTCCATCCCGGGGGGCTCCCCTCTCTGACCTGCCTCAGCAGGGAGCCAGGAGGAGCTCAGGGCAGCTGGTGCCGCTATCATCCCCAATATACTGACTCAGAACCTGACTTGGAACCGCTTCCAGTCCCCAGTGCTCCCGCTGGGCTCCCCAGACCACACCGTGTGTCCACCATGGGTTGTCTTTCTGAAGCTCAGCTTCCTTGTCTCCTGGGTTCCTCCCTTGGTCCAAAACAATCAATGGCTCGGGTGCCTTGGGAAGATTCTTCTGGGTCCTGGGAAGATTCTTCTGGGTCTTGGGTCTCTCCTGCTGCCCCTGGCCCGTGCCAGGCTCTGCCCCAAGGTGTGTGGCCCTCCCAGCTTTGGACGCTCCTGGCCGGCCCAGCTTCTTCATCATTCTCTGGTCGTGTCTCTTCTATCCCCTGTCCTCCACCCTCACCCTTTTATTCATCCTGCTCCTCCCCTATGGAGTAGCCTGTGCCAGCCTCAGGGGGAGCCCATCCAGGGCTGGGAAGGTTAGGTCATGGCCAGGGGCTGGACTCGATTCTGCAGGTGATGGACGGAGGCACACTTGGTGAACTTTCAGAACAAGTCCTATTCTTCTAGATGATCAAGAACCCTACATCCTTCCACTCCCCCCACTGCCCCAGCGCCCAGGCTCCGCCGCCTCCATTCCCGCATCCATCCACGCCTTCCGGGCCAGTGCAGTCAGCTCTGGGCGGTCACGCTTGGGGACAGGCTGGGGTCAGCTCAGCCACCCGTGTGAACTCCTGGGCTGACCCTGGGAGGTGCCTTTCCATCCTTACCAGTGATTTCCTTGGAGGGCCGCCGGGCGCCTCCCAGAATGTCCCTCAGGGGCTGGCAGGGCCCGGAGATGTTGCCTGAAGCTGACACCGCTGGCGGGACATTTCATCGGAAAATGAATTCCGGTGTTGGTTTCTGCGCCTGAAGGTGACTGCTTTGTTTTAATATCAAAATTCTGGTTTTGTTACTTCCCGTGGAGAATGTCGATCCTACGGGTTGAGTCTCTGGCGCCACCCTGAAGCCTCACTTGCTCCGCCCACGCCCTCCCAGCCCTCAGCAGCGGCAGCCCCTCATCTCCCCGTGCAGCCTCAGGGGCCGCCACTAGCTCCGCGGTCCGTGTAAGTAGAGCCCCCTGGAGGTGTGCAGTCAACCCCACAGTTCTGGCGGAGAGGCCCCTAGGCTGGGCGGTCAGGAAACCTGGATTCTGTGTGACGTCGCTGCCGACCGCCCATGTGACTGGGGCCACCGCTGCCCCCTCCCTGGGCCCGTGTCCTCGTGCAGCAAAGGGAAGCCACGGGCAGTCCTCACGGGGCTGGACGGGGCCTCCCGGTTCACACTCTGTGACTCTGATGCTGGGAATCTCAGACGGGGGGTGGGGAGTGGAAGCGGAGCGAAGTCTGAGGACGGCTGACTGCACTCCCTCCACTCACAGACGGCAGCTGGGGGCCCCGCCGCACCCACTGAGTTGGGCCCCCGACCCCAGCATGATGAGTGCAGCCCTCGCATCCCGCAGGAGACGGGACTTCGACGGGACCTCTGCTCCCACTGGCGGGAACGTTGCCGGTGGCTTGTGGCTGGTACCAACCTGCAGGCCTTCTCCAGGGCCGCAGCTCTGCGTGCGCAGGACAGCCCATCCTTCCTGTGACCGCCCTGCGGTTCCTGCAGCTGGCTGAGGGGTGGGCGTGGGGAAGGGGCAGCAGCCTGGCTCTCCCCCTCCACGCGGTGCCGATTCTCCCCGGGGAAGCAGGTTTCGCCACCCCCCCCATACCTGCCCACCCACTGGCCCCCTTTCTCTGCAATGTGTGTACAAATGGGGGTCCAGACCCCCTGCTCTGAGGCTACAGGGCCCTCCCACCGTTGTGGGCACTCAGTGGAGGGGTTGACACACTAAATCCCCAGCTCCCGACCTCAGCAGGTGAAGAAAGACACACTGTCCAGCTGCTCTTCCTTGACCCGCCCTGCTGCAGAAGTTAGCAAACAAGGAACATGCAAAGTAGCTCCTCTGTGCGTGTGTGTGTGTGCGTGTGTGTGTGTGTGTGTGTGTGTGTGTGTGTCCGTCCGTCCTCTGGGAAGTTCAGGCTCACTCCGGGTTCAGAAGCCCGGGTGAGCCTGGCCCTGCTGTGTGGCTTTGGGCAAGTCCCTTCCCCTCTCTGGGCTACACGGTCCTCATGGGCAAGAGGAGGAGGGGGGAGCAGGTGTTCTCCAAGGCTCTGGTGGCTCTGGTGGGTTGGCTGCCAGAGGCTGTCTTCCTTTGACCTCAAGAGTGAGGCTTGCAGGACAGGATCTGAAAGCCTGCTGAGGAGACCAGACCACCCTCGTATGCAAATCCCGAACCTCCACCCCATCCTCTGCACACCTGACAGGTCTGTGTAGGGGAATTCTTGCTAAAGTAAACAGGAAGAGCCTTTGCAATGAACTACCCATGGGGTCCTGCCCAGCCAAACCCAGAGCCTGGGAGTCAAGGGATTTACCGTTCCTTAAGGAGCCTCAGAATCCTCTAGATTCACAGCGGAAGAGAGGAAACATCTGCAGGTGTCATTGGGAGGAAGGGTAGACAGAGGCTCAAAGAAGAAGACTTGGATCAGATATCCTGATCCCAGCTCTGCACTTGCTTGCTGGGTGACCTTGGGCAAGACGGCCAACCTCCCTGAGCCTCAGTTGCCTGCTCTGTAAAATGGGGTAATGACAGCTCCTTTGCAGAGGACTACGTGGGTTAGAGACGATGTATGGGAACCCTGAGCCCAGCTTGTTACCTGGAAGGGACTCATTCAGAAGTGTTCATTGTGGTGGGCCAGGGACGGGCTTAGTGCTGAAAGTTAGAGCCCAGAGGGAATTCCTTCTAGCAGAGCGGAAACTTACCCACAGATAACCGCCAATCCAGGTTCAGTGCGTCCTGAGCTGTAAGCAAAGAGCCCGAAGAGCTCAGCTTAGAAGCAAGAGAAGACTTCTGGCTGGAATGACCAAGGGAGGCTTCCTGGAGGAGGTGGCATTTGAGCAGGCCTGTAGGATGGGCAGGATTTCAAGAGGGCACATTCATGGCCTACCAACACTAATCCTGTGTTAGGCCCTCCTCACTGCTGTATACTCGTGGCCTCAGAGGATCCTCCCAGCAACCCACAGGAAAGGATTGCTACGTTTACCATTTTACAGGGGAGGGGGCTCAGCCTGGAGTCACCCAGCTAGTGAGGGACAGCACCAGGCTTAACTTAATCACACCTGCAAAGTCCCTTCTGCCTTATAACATTCACAGGTTCCAGGGGTGAGGACGTGGATATCACCTTCGGGGGCCATTATTCTGCCTACCACGGTGATTCCATTAAGGACCTTGAGATGGGAAGGTTACCCTGGATGACCCAGGTGGGCCTGATGTGATCACCAGGGTCCTTGCAAGAGGGGGGCAGGAAGGTCAAAAGCAGAGGAAGGAGGTGGGCTGGTGGGAGGTCCAGGTGACGCACTTTGAAGATGGAGGAAGGGGCCACAAGCTGAGGGATGCAGGCGGCCTCTAAAAGCTGGGGAAGATGAGGAAACAGAACCTCCCCTGGGGCCTCCAGAGGGAACCAGCCCTGCCGATACCTTGACTTTTAGCCCCATGAGACTCATTTTGGATTTCTGACCTCCACAACTGTAAGAGAATACCTGTGTGTGTGTGTGTGTGTGTGTGTGTGTGTGTGTGTGTGTGTGTGTGTGTGTTTAATGTTCTGGCTGTGCCCCTTGGCATGTGGGATCCTAGTGCCCCGACCAGGGATCAAACCCACGCCCCTTGCGTTGGAAGCACGGAGTCTGAGTAAGTGGACCCCAGGGAAGTCCCCCTTCGTGTTGTTTGAAGCCACCGAGTTTGCGGTGACCTGTTCGAGCAGCCACAGGAAGCTGCTACAGCCCCAGCTGCATCCACCTTGCCCTCGCCTGGGGTCTCGTCACGCGGGTCTCTCACGCCTCTGTTTCAGCACTTTATCAGTTTGGTCCCCGGATGTGTCTGCGAGCGACTCCGGAGCTTTCTATGCCTTTCAAGCCTTCCCACCATCCCTCCCCAGAGCCTCAGGCACTAGCTTGCACCCGGTACGCGTTTAAAAAATGGTGGCGATGTGTAAGTAAATCTGTGTCTTTTATTTACAGCTGTTGAGAGGAACAGGCTTTTGACAGCAGTAACTGCTGGTTTCCCCGTGGTCTGACCGCAGAACTAGAACCCCCGTGGCCTGAGCGCCCGTCAGGAGTGGGGAACAGCCAGCACGCTGGCTGAAGCAGAGGGGTTCTAGGTCTCCGACTGGGGCAGGAGACAGCTCTGACCACCCACGGCAGCCAGAAAGGGGCCTGCTGAAAACCGAGCTGACCAGATCCCCGTGAGCAGCAGGCAGGGGGAGGATTTCTCTGTGGGTCCCAGCTCTGGTCTGTTCTTGGCATCGCAGTGCACCTGGGGCTACTCTGGCCTCCTGGGCTCTGCCCCGGGGGGAAGGCACCGAGCCCTTAGACCTGTAGACGACATCAGCTCAGAAAAGATCCAGCTGCCACACTTTGCAGCAGGAGAATTGTTGGTCCAGAGAGGGAAAGTGACTTGCCCGAGGTCACACAGCAATTTCGTGAATCTCAAAACAAGCTTGACGAGTCTGGTCCAGTGCTGCCTCCAGGAGACTGGGGATCTGGGTGTGTGAGGCTGGCCTCCCTCCAGGTGACACGATCTTGGGGCAGGCCGGTCAGGAGCTGGGAGCGGGGATAGCCTCACTTGAGGTTGTGCTGGCTCTCGCGGTGCCGCCGCAGGTCCACTTTACGCTGGAAGCCTTTGGTGCACAGCTCACAGCTGAAGGGCTTGAAGCCTGTGTGCTTCCGGCTGTGAGTGATGAGGTTGGAGCTCTGGCTGAAAGCCTTCCCACACACCTGGCACTTGTGTGGCTTCTCACCTGCGGGGCGGCAAGGACAGGGTCAGGGCCGTTTGGACCAGACCTGCTGCCCCAATGCCCTGCAGTTGTTCTCTGGAATTTTATTATGTTTTATTGCACGTTCACTTTAGAAAATAATTAGAAAAGGGAGACAAGAAAAATACAACTCTGACCACCCAACCCCTCGGCCAATTGTACCCCAGTTTTAAGGCAGGGACTGGGTCCACCTTGTTTATCAATGAAGCCCAGCACCTGGTACAGGACCCTGCACAAAAGAGGCACTGGCTAACAGCTGAGGAATGAATGAATGGGGAATGAATGAATGAATGAATGGAGGGATGAATGAATGGTTGGAAGAATGAGTGAATGGATGACCGAATGGGGAAAGAATGAATGGGGAAATGGATAAATGAATGGCTGGAAGGACGAACGAAAAAGTGACCAAATGGGGGAACAAATGAATGGATGGAGGAATGAATGACTGAATGACAGAGTGGGGAATGAATGAATGGAGGAATGAAGGAATGGAGGAATGAATGAGGATGAATGAATGGTTGGAGGGATGATGAATGAGTGACCAAACGAGGAATGGGTGAATGAGTGGGGGACCAAAAGGGTGAGTAGCAGCATGACTGAATGAATGACCAAATGGGAAATGAATGAATGTGGGAATGAAGGCATGAATGGCTGGAGGAATGAGCGAATGAAGGAATGATGAATGAAGGAGAAATTCACCTGCTGGTCTCACTTCTACACACAGATTATCAGTGTCGACATTTTGCTATTTCCTTCCAGTACTTTTTCTACACAGTAAGTAACACAGCGTACCCCGCCCTCCTGTTGGAGCGGGGTGGCCTCCCCTGTGTAACCTGACACCCCGCTCCCTCCCCACCCGGGGCCTAAAGCCCGCACCTTTTAACAGTGAAAGGTTGAGTGCCCGCAGGCTCTGTCTGGGCCCTGGGGTGGGGGGCTTGGTGGGGGCGGAGTGGGGGGAGGGTCGGCGGACCCAGGCCGGGGAGGAGCTCTGCTGGGGCAGAGCGCAGGCCGCGGCCTCACCGGTGTGGATGTAGGTGTGCTTCTTCATGTCCGACTTCTGGTGGAAGCGTTTGCCGCAGAACTGGCAGGGGTAGGGCCGCGTGTCCGAGTGGATGAGCAGGTGGGTGGACAGGGTGGACGAGCGCTTGAAGGCCTTGCCGCACATCCGGCACTCGAAGCTGCGCCCCTGCCGGAGGAAACGAGGCCCCGGGGGGTCAGGCGCAGGTGGGGCCTCGCGACCCGGGACTGCCAGGCTGGGCGCGGGACTGGACCCGGCCGGGATCCCCTGAGGAACAGGACACTCCATTGGGGTGGCCTCGAGGATGGGGCCTGGAGGAGCAGGAACCAGGGACCCCCATTCCTGCCTCCTAGGAGGGGCCGAGGCCTGGCCCCTGAGTGGCCTCCTATTAGGGGATTTCCCCTTGTGGTTTGTTTAAGCGGCTGAATTATTGGGGCCCAATTCTGGCTTCTGCCTCTTACTCGCCACGTGACCTTTGGCAAGTCATTTAACCTCCCTGGGACTCAGTTTCCCCATCTGTACATTGGATCGTTATGGGTAGTGACCTCAAAGGATCGTTGGGAGGATTGGAGGTCGGGAACTGAGCTGGCAACTGGCACGTGGCACATTCTAACCATCTTTTCCTGCGTTTCCCACCTGAGCTTTTATATCTACCCAGGTGTTAGCAACTCAGGTCAGTGTCAGGTGCTTTCCCTGGAATGGGATTCTGAGGAAGGGATTTCGGCATCAGGTAGGGCTAAGTGGGATGAGATGAACATTTAAGCCTGATTTCAAGATTCTAAGAGTCAAGGGTCTCAGAGGTGAGAAACCTGTCCTGACCACCCAGGAGGTGGGGTCATTCCTCAGCATCCCAGACATCTCGCTGCCCCCGAAATCCCACCTGAGCTCCTAGCCTCTTCCAACTGTACATGAAGCCAGCTTGGTCCATCAGGGACTCAAATGTGTTAAGGGCGGGTGACGGAGACCCAGATCAGGGCGGCAGATAATGAGGGCCCCCCAATCTGTCACCTTCAGGGGCACAGAGAGAGACCCACCGATGCCCCCTAGGCTTCCTGGGGGGAGCACAGAGCAGGGGTGGGAAGTGAGGGTGCTGTGCTCAGCCAGCTGCCCACCTGGGAGTGGACGTGCGTGTGCTGCTCCAGGCTCACTGCATGGCCGAAGGTTTTGCCGCAGACGTTGCAGGCGAAGGGCCGGGTCCCACTGTGGGAGCGGCGGACGTGCACCTCGAGCCCATGTGGGGTGGAGAACACCTGCAGGAGGGGCAGAGCATGAGGCCCCGGGGGTGCAGAGAGGGAGAGGGCCAGGGTCCCACCTCTGCACCCAGCTAAGCCACAGGTGGGTGTACAGGAAAAGGAACACTGGATTGCCGATTCTGCTGCCATGTGCTGGTGTGTCCTGGGAAGGTCCCTTTCCCTCTCTGCGGCTGGCTTTCCTGTCTATAGAATGGAGTCTGGGAGGGGGGATCTGGAAGGCCCCTCCTGGCCCTATCTGGAGGCTGAATGGCGGTTAAAAAGTGGGAGTTGGGCAGAGCCAGGTTTGAATGCTGGTTGTGATATCTACTTGCTGCGTGCCATTGGGCAAGTGACTCAACGTCTCTGAACCTTAGCCCTCCGTCCACCTCCCGGGGCTCATGCATGTCAAGTGCTTAGCACAGGGATGAGCACATGGTCAGGGCTCAATGAACGGTGATGAGGGCGAATGTTGTGAGTCCTTGATCCCACCAGAGGACCCAAGAGTCACATCACAGGGGGCACCCAGCTCTGAGCACTCGCAGCTGCCAGGGTGCTGGAGAGGCGATGCAAGCAGGACCCGAGAGCCCACCCGCATCCTGGCCACCCACCTTGCTGCACTTGATGCAGTGGTATGCGTCCAAGCCCGGGGAGTAGTGGAGGCTAAAGTCCAAGGGCGGCTCAGTGCTGGGCACCAGAGGGCTGCCATACAGGCTGACGGAGCGCTCCAGGAAGGCAGACTGCATGGTGGAGGGGGCCTGCTGGTAGCTGTGCCCGTAGGATGAAGCCAGGGCATCCCAGGAGAATCTGGGCTTGTAGAATGGGGGTGAGTCGGAGGATGACGAGCCCTCATCCTGGGGTCGGGACGTCACAGCAGGCCCCTCTGTGGAGAGTGGGACATATACCTAGTGTTGACGTTAAAAGCAGGGCACCCACTCCCCGCCACCCTCCACTGTGACCTCATGCTGAGGCTTTGGTGTGTAGCCCCAATTATTTACTGGGGGGGGTCTGGGTCCTCACTGTGGCTCCTTGACTTTTCAGTCCAGAAATGTGCCCCAACCCCTGCAGAGTGCCCACCTCACCCACTACGTGGGCCTGTCCAGCTGCTTCCTCTGCCCCACCACACAGAAGCTCTCATGTGGGAATGAACTCCCCGTCCTGGAGGGATTCAAGCAGAAGCCTGAGAGCCTGGACTGTCGATCCTCCCTGGCTCCACAACTCCGAGGGGCCCCACTTCCACAGGCCCATCCATCCTCCATTCCCCTTGCACCCGCTGGGGAGTGGCGGGGGTCCCCTGCTGGGTACCTGGGGCGGAGGCCATCCTGGTCATCAAGCTCTGGTCCAGCTCCAGCTCCGGCTCCCGTTTGAGGTCAGTCCAGTCCAGGCACTGGTTTGGGAACAGGGTGCTGAGGACAGGGTTGGTGCTCAGGACCTGGTCCCTGGCCACTGTGGGGAGACAAGACCGTCAGACTTCAGCTCTGGGAAGTCCGGAGGGACTGGGGGAAGGAGGGGCACCAGAGAGAGACCACTGCTGCCGCCCCTGGTTCTTCCCAGGATGGTGGGAGCAGCATGGAGGCCAGGAGGAGACCCCCGCCCCCCCCCCCCCCCCCCCCCCCCCCCCCCCCCCCCCCCCCCCCCCCTTCTCTCCCCTCCCCCCTCCCCCCCACCGAGGAGAGCTCTCCGGACCAGTCTCCATCTTTCTGAGCACCCACCCTCAGCCCTAGATCAGCCTTCTGATTACGAGTCACACGTCAGTTGCTGAGGACAGCGCCAATCAGGATGCTCTCATCACCCCCATGGGGTGAGAAGAGATAGGTGCATTTATTCATTCATTCAACCCACATTTACTGAACTCCTCCTGTTTCCAGACTTGGAAGAGTGGCTACTTCCGGTGGGATGCTGCTGCACCCCCATCACATGGGCAGGGAGTCCTGGTGGGTACAGCAGAAGGCCAGCCCGGGCTATGACTCACCAGGACCAAGGGCGGGAGGCCAGAGGAGCCCATCCTCCTGGGCACGAGGCTGGTGGTAGGTGTGAGCCTTCTTACTCTTCACCAGGAAGGAGCGTGGCATCGTCACCGGGTGCCCCACACCTATAGGGGGAGAAGACGAGAAAGTTTACGAAGGACGAGAGGACGATACTCCTCTATATTTTAGGACCTCCTCCTAAAATCAAAATCCACTGTCCTGGTTTGAATACTGTCCCCCAAAGTTCACATCCACCCAGAATCTGTGAATGTGACCTTATTTGAAAATAGGGTCTTTGCAGATGGAATCAAGTTAAGGTGATGTCACGCTAGGTGCAGAGAAACCCTAAGTCCAATGTGACAAGTGTCTTTATAAGAAGAAGGGAACTTGGACACACAGACACAGACACGTGCAGGAAGAAGGGCCACGTGGAGATGGGGGCAGAGATTTGGAGGGATGCGGCTTCAAGACAAGGATTGCTGGCAAACCAGAAGCTAGGAGACAAGCCTGAAACACATGCTCCCTCAGAAACTCCAGAGGAGCTGACTTTGCTGACACCTTGATTTGGGATTTCTAGACTCCAGAACCCTGAATGAATACATTCCTGTGTGTTAACCCACCCAGTTTATGTTTCTTTTTTTTTTACAGCGGCTACAAAGCCTAGTGTCCCTCACTCCTCTCTTGCTGGAAAACCAATACACCCACTTCTAGAAAACCCCAGGTCAGCCTGCCCCTGCTGCATGTCCTGAGTTACACTGGGAGCAGAGAAGGAAGGGCAGGGGTACCTCCATTTGTGAAACACTCTGCACCCTGCACCCAGAAAACTGCATCTGCATCCCGGTGGGGTTTGCATTCAGAGGCCATGGAAAGTTGTGGTCTGAGCACAGGTTTTGGAGTCAGATGCTCACGGGTTAGAATCCCAGCTCACCCGCTGTGCAATTTGGGGCAGACGCTTAACCTCTCTGGGCCTATTACCTTTTCTGTAAGATGGTAATCCGGGTTGATGGTGCTGGCGAGTGCCTAGTACGTGCTCAGCGCCTATCAGAGAGGAACCTGGCAGGTGAGCTGCAACGAGGGGGGCCACCTCAATCGCAAATCCACGTTATTGTGCAAGTTGGGTGCTGACGTAGCCAGAGCGGGGCTGCACCTTGTCCACAGCTCCGGCCCAGAATCTGGCCCCCAGAGAGGGAGGGGCTCTTCCTCTCTCCTCGTGGGTGGAGGAGCTTCTATGTGGAGCTCGAGGCCTGAGAGGACCCCACTGGAGGCCTGAGGTCATTTTGTGCACAGGGAGGAAGAGGCCAAGGTCCACCAACTCTAGGGACTGAGCACAGGGCAGCCCAGCCCAGGCCCATCACTGAACCCACGGGTCAGCGGGTCGGGGAGTGCAGAGCTGGACCAGCCTGACTACCCGGTGCTCTTGGCTTCTGGTGCAGCGAGCATCTCCTGCCCGCTGCCCCAACCCCCCGAAATGTTTCACATCCCTGCGCCCAGCCAGGAGGCTCTCCTGAGGGCTCCCAGGAGACAGAGCATCTCCTGGTGGTCCTCGGTCCCCGCCACCCCCCAGGCAGAAGCTCAGAGGAAATACTCAGCTGATGCCGGTGCTGATGGCAGCTCAGCTGGGCCCATTCCCCAGGCCTCAGAGGAGGAGCCCCCCACTCCCGGGCCAGCCCAGGCACCAGGCAAGGCTGCAGGCGTGATAGGGCCAAGCGCGGGGAAACAGATGGCGGGAAAAAGCTCTGAACAACAGCGAGGGCCTGGTTGATAAGGCCGTGGCCAAGGAGCCGGCTGGGAGCAGGCAGATTAGAGAGGGAGCTTGGAGCTCTGCCTCGGGAGAGGCCCTGGGAGCCACCCCTTCCCCAAGGGGATGACCCAGAGCAGGCAGAAGAGGTACCCACACCCGTGCCCAGACCTGCCCGCCCCTCTGGGGGCAGCAGGAGTTTGGGCCATGCCGCTCGGCCAGGGGCCATCCCAGGCCCAGCCTTCCTGAATGGAGGCCTCAGTGTCCGGATCTGCTAAATGGCAATCTCAAACCAACTTCCTGGGACTGCTGGGGAGAGAAGGGAACTTTATTTATTACAAACAATTGTGTAGAGGGCCCAGTGCGGTGCCTGGGCTGCTGGGGGGACGGAGGTGCTCAGCCCACAGAGGAGAGGCTTTGGGAGGGCAGGCTTGGGTCCTGTCTGGTCTGGTGGCATCCCCAGTGTCTGACCCAAAGCCGGCACGCTCTATGGATGGGGTCAAGCCCTGACCAGGAGCCGGGACACGCTCCAGGCCCCTCCCCCTGGGCCCTGAAATGAGGGCATGGGACCTGATGGCCTCTGGGGTCCGGTCCAGCTGTCAGATTTTGACCACATGAGGCTCAGCCAGCCTGCTGTCCTCCCCAGGCTTGTGGGGCAGCTCTTATCTCCCAGGGACAGTGTTCTTCCTCATGCCTCCCCCTCTCCCCCCGCCCGGGGCTCCACACACTGCCCCTTCCTGCCCCCTTCTAACTCTTGGCTTCAGGAGCCCCCTGAAGAGGCCAGAGCCTGGGCAGAGCGAGAGGAGACCCTCACGTTCTGGGGGAGGGCCGGGGGGCTGGGTTCCCCTCGCCTTTTATTCTGGGGGGACCTCCGTAGCCATGATTTTTTAAAAACATAGTATTTTATTAGTCAGTCAACTAGAACCAAAAGTAGGCTTTAAGCCGCTGAGCTAGAACACCAGGAAATACATCTTGCAGCCTGGATCTGCAGAGCCTCAGCTCTGATAATCCTGACTCGTGAGCTGTGTGGCTATTACCCCACTTTACAGAGGAGGAACTGAGGCTTAGAGACCGGCTCCCAATCCCAGGGCAGAGTGAGGCGGAGCTGGACTTGGTCATCTGCCTCCCAGGCCTCCGTGCTCTTGGCCGTCAGACCACGGGGTGGGCTCTTGTTCAGGGCGGTGGCAACTGAGCTGACAAGCTAAGGAGGAAACCAGGACAGCGCGTGAAGCTCCCCAGCATGCACTGTGTCACTGAATCTGACACCCACCGGGGCAAGGGAAACAGTGATTGTCTTCCTGGGTCACGGGGGGAACCTGAGGCTGAGAGAGGCAAGTGGCTTGTCCAGGGCCTCACAGCAGAGCCAGACCCAGAGCCCCTGCTTCCTAGGACTTGACTCCTGGCCCCAAGCTCTGCCCATCTGCACCTGTGGTCCTTTCAACACCGGATGAAGACAGCCTGCCTGGAGAAGGGAGGAGAAGTCTCATTGGTGGGGCGAGATGGGGGACAAGTCAAATTCCCCTGATCTTTGGACTCTTCCAGGATCCAGCAGGCCCCATCTAGGCTCGTGAGGAGTTTGGGGTGGAGAGGCAGGCGAGAGAACAGGCTTCTTTTAGGAAGCTTCAGTGATCCCTTTGGCTCAGAACCCAAGGAGACCCTAGAGGTCAGCTCATTGGAACCTGGCATGACAACACAATGGCTCTCTGGGGTTCAGAAGCACGTACACAGGGGAGCAAGGGGGTCCCAGGAAGGTGATTCTCGGGGCCCACTCTAGTGATCCCCCCGGGGCCCCCAATCTCTTCCCCTTCCCTCCCTAGAACATTCTGTCCGCTCAGCCTGGCAAAGTGACAGTGGCGAAGCCATGAAGCTCACCGAAGCCATCAAGCCAAATGCACCCAGAGAACTTCCTTTTGACCCCTGTGAGCTGAGTTAAAAAAAAAAAAAAAAAAGGAACCAATCACCTATACTGTAGTTAATTAACAACCACACGGTTTGATTCACACTAACCTGTCCTGAGAAAGAGCTACGAGCAGAGATTGTGTAAGAAGCCCAAGATTTCTTCATAACAGAGGCCTTGATGGTATCGGGCCTCCGGAAAGAGCCTCGCTGTTAATATCTCTTCAAAAACCCCCAATCCCAATAGAGGGTTCCCCGACCCTGAGTCAGAATCTCGGCCAGTACTTCTGAAGAGGGGCAGCCCCGCACCCTGACTTCCAGACGGAGCCAGAGCAGCAGGCCTGTGATTTCCGTGCAACGAGGCGCCTCCCGTGGGGCTGAATCGGATTCTGTGACCTTGAGCCTAACCACGTCAGCCGTCAACCTGGGGCTTGGTTTTCCTATCTCTCAGAAGGGACAGTTGGACTAAGAGATTTCTAAACTTCCCTTTTACTCTAAAATCCCATGCTGGGGTTCGTTGACTTTTAGCAGGGGACCGACCTACCTTGACTAAGAAACTCATCACTCGGGTTCCCTTTTTGGGAGGATTGAGTAAGACACTCCGTTGTTTCTCAGAGTCTGCTACGGAGGACGCTTTGGACTTCCTTTATGCTTAAAGATGCGACTCAAGGGGAAACACAAACAAAGAAACAAAAAATCACCCTTTCCATGTAGGAGTCAGGGGACGTGAGCCCAGGTCCTTTTTGGGGCCCCAGCAGAGCGTAGTCATTACTTTTATTCAAAATTTGGAAGGAGTTCTCAAATGTCTCTTCCTAAGTTCAGAGGATGCAATGTCAAAAAGAGGTGAATCCACCTCTGGGTATATAAAAGTATCGAAAGCAGGGACTTGAACAGATATTTGTACACCCAGGTTCATAGCAGTGTTATTCACAATAGCCAAAAGGTGGAAACAACCGATGTGTCCATTAATGGATGAGTGCATAAACAAAATATAGTATAGACATCACAATGGAATATTATTCAGTCTTCAAAAGGAAAGTGATCCTGACACATGCTACAACACGGATGAACAATGAGGTCATTATGCCTCTTGAAATTAAGCCAGACACCAAAGGATGAATACTGTAGGATTCTACCTATGTGAGTTACCTAGAGTAGTCCAATTCAGAGACAGAAAGTAGGATGGTGGGGGCCAGGGGCTGGGGGGATGGGAGGACTGGGGAGTTATTGCTTACTGGGGACAGAGTTTCAGTTTTTTGCAAAATGAAAGAAGTTCTATCAATGGATGGTGGTGACGGTAGCACAGCAATGTGAATGTGCTTAATGCCACTGAACTGGCCACTTAAAAAATGATTAAAATGGTCCATTTCATGTTATATGTATTTTACCTCAATAAAAACAAAAAGGAGTGTAGAGCAACTATACGCCAATAAAAATTAATTTCAAAAACAAAAACAAAACAAAAAGGAGTGAACAAAACATTTCCTGAGCATCTCTGAATTAGAGCTAAAGCAGTTCCCATTGGTTTGAATTCCTGGAAACAAAGGAACAAAAACCACCCTCTAGACTGAGGAAGGGTAAAGTTTTCTGTTGTTTCTGAAAAGGGTTGAGAGGTTGTGTCACAGTGAAGCAACATACGTGATCATGTTAGTTTTCCCGGGGGGGGGGGATATGGCCCCAAAGGCTTCGGGAGCCCTTGTACTCTCCGGTAGGAGACCACCACCCAGTCTCCTGAAAGTCTTGAGAAAATGCTCTGCACTGGTTTTGAGTGACTCCATCAATCAAACCTAACCCAAGTGTAAATCCCTGGTGGTCCCCAAGAACTTTCTGCTGGGAAACTAACATACCAACCCACAAATCTTTTTTTTTTTTTTTTTTTTTTTGGCCGAGTGGCTTGCAGGATCTTAGCTCCCCGACCAGGGATCGAACCCGTGCCCCCTGCAATGGAAGCACATAGCCGTAACCACTGGATCACCAGGGAATTCCCTCCAATCCCGAAATCTGAGTTGGAAGAAACCTCACACACCTTCTTATCCAAAGAATCCCTTCTGCACCACCTCTGAGGACAAGAAACTTGCCCCTTCTCTAAGACTGAAGTCTTCTACCCGTTGCCCACTAAGAAATGTGCAGAGGAGTGAGCCCGTGTGGGCAGGTGCAGCTCAGCTGGCTCCCACCAGATCCACGTCCAGAGACCGAAAATTACTTTGCACCTCCCACCATAGTATCTCATGAAAGCTGCGGACTTTCTTCCCAGCAAAATGTACACGGGCACATACCCACGGTGATTCAGTGGACTGCCCCCCTTAACAAGCCCTACGTTAGAGCAAGCACCTCTCCCCAGACGCCCAGACTCTAACTTGGCTTTTTCTTCAAAATTAGGTAGAAGCGGCTGAGGCACCACCTCCCCATCTCTTGTTCCTGGAGGCTGGGTGGGACGGTGCTGTGGAGATGTCAGTCCCCTGCTCCCCTTAGGAGGCTCTGAATGTGAAATGCCTCCCTCTCAAAGTGTCCCAGGAACTTTGGGGAAGGTCACCTGGGATTGTGGGTGCTGAAGCTAAGACTTCCTTCAGAGTCCTCAATCCCACTCTCTTATTTCACAGCCAAAGAAAGGCTCAGAGTGCGCTGGGGACAGGGCCAGTCTGTCCCTGAAGATGGACACCAACTCGGGCACTTCCACCTGTGTCCTGCCTCGCCTGCCCAGGTCCCTGGGAGAGCTAGGGTGTGGGTATGACATCGTGCAGGTAGGTGATCTCCGTCAGTCTAAAATCAAATCTTCAAAGGGCGTTCATGGGACCTCCCTGGCGGTCCAGTGGTTAAGACTCCGCGCTTCCACTGCAGGGGGCACGGGTTCCATCCCTGGTCAGGGAACTAAGATCCCGCATGCCATACGGCCAAAACACAAAAGCAAAAATAACAACAACAATGGGTATACATGCACAATTGGCGGAAGGTAATTCCTCCACAGGTACACGGGGGGCTCGCAGCATCTCAGAGGAGACGGTCTCCTTGCCACCTCTTCTCTGGGTTCAAGGACTAAAAGCCACCTCTCATAAAAGAGATTTTCCAGCCCACCTTAGTCTTCCTAGGACTGCCATAGGGACTAGGTAAACTGCTTGGAAAGGATCTAAGTCGGATATGCAAATTTCAAAAGAAGAGGCAGGGGCGTTCTACTCACTCACCTGTCCGGAGCTCCTCGTCCACGGTGGGAAGCTCGCTGCTCCCTATGGGGACGGTGCCACCCGGTCAATTTGTGACTCTCTGCTCAGAGTAGATACTTCTCCTTTCCCCCCCCTTCTCTCCGTGTGTGTGTGCGTGTGTGTGTGTGCGCGTGTGTGTTTCCTCTTCTGTTTCCCTACCTGATTTTCAATCTGATTATTTGTGTCAAAATCTGGCGGTGAAGGAACAGCCAATAGAGAGCGCGCCAGAGCTCTGGGCTGTATTTGCTTATCAAAGCTTTCCAGGAGCCAAGACTCTCCATTCTCTTCTCTAACCCGCCACTCCTGGAGCAGCACGCACTCTCTGGAAATTTTTAATAACATGTGGATTTAAAAAGTAATGGCTAAATTATTAAATTTTAAAAATTGAAGTTAAAATAAAACATTTACTTATAAACCTGATTTTGTGTAGAGAACTCATAAGTTAGTCTCTTTCTTCCTTCCTCCCTTCCTTCTTTTTTTCTTTCTTTCTTTCTTCTTTCTTTCTTTCTTTCTTCTTTCTTCCTTCTTTCTTTCTTTCTTCTTTCTTTCTTCTTTTTTTCTCTCTTCTTTCTTCTTTCTTTCCTCTTTCTTTCTTTCTCTCTTTCTTCTTTCTTTCTCTCTTCTTCCTTTCTTTCTTTCTCTCTTTCTTTCCCTCTTTCCTCTCTCCCTCCCTCCTTCCTTTCTCCCTTTCCTTCTTCTCCTTCCTTCCCTCCCTCACTCCAGGAGCCCAGCACTCAGCATCCCCACCCTGGAGCACTCCCCTACAAAGCCCTTGGCTTGTGCTGCTGCAAACTGCTTTTAGAGGGGCCCCTCTTGTCCTTGCAGAGGTCGCCGTTGAGAAAAAAGTCAAATCCACGCTTCCCCAGACTTGACGCTAGAGCGAGTGGGGAGCAGCAGGTGTGATATTGAACGTGGGTGATTCCCGCATGTGCGGGGCCCTCAGCCGCTCAGGCCCACGGGCAGGCTGCTCCCGGGTCCCAAGGCCCGCGTGTGCTGCCATCTGGTGGCCGCTGTGGAGTACTGGGAGGGCCGGGCGATGGGGGCTGCCTCCAGGTGTCCGTCACCAGCGGGAAGGCTGGGATGGCCAGTCTCGGACATTTCAGCCCACTGGGCACAGAAGCCACCTCCTTCTTCCTCCTCTGCCCCTCAAGCCTCCCCCAGCTTACGGGATGGCTGATTTATTTCAGGAGGTTTTGCATATGAGAACTCACAGCTGATTTGCATATGCACTGCCAGCCCAGAGCTGGAGAGATTATGTTTCCCTCCTAAAGAAAACGAGTTTGGCAACTGGAAGCCCCGACATAACTGAAGTCCAAGGTCCGACATGGAGAGAAAGGCGGGGTTTCGGGCAGGGTCTCACTGCTGCTGGGCCAGGCCATCGAGGGAGCGCCAGCCTGTGGGTCACCCTGGTCTGTGCGGTGCTGGTACTCTCTGGACCACAGGCCAAACACAGGAGACGACTGGTCTCTCTTCTTGGTGGACAGAGAGATTAGTGGAAACTCCTGGAATACTCTTTGGATGCCGCAGTTTGCCCATAGTCAACTGGAACTCTTTGTCATTATGCAAAGAATTCAAGGACGTTCATAAAAATAAAAAAATAATTAGAAAAATGATTATAGTAGAAATAAAAAGAAAAATAAAAATTAATTCAAGGACTTGTCCCTTAATTCACTGTGGTATACACACATGTCCACAGTTTGCTATTGTCAACCAGCAGGTCTTTTTTTCTTTTCACTGAATGTTATTTTGTTTCAGGACCTCCTAAATTCTCTTGTGGCTTTCATTAACATGTTTAATGATTTCACGGCTTTTCATGGCTTACCTTACCAATCACCTTCTCCATTCAGGGCATTTAGTTTGTGGGGTATTTTCTAGTGTAAAGCTGCTGTATCGGGCATGTACAGTTCAGCTGTTGTCCTAAGATGTAGTCCCACTTAGGGTCCTTCTCTTCCCCCTTGAGTAACCAACTCAGGGACTCTTTTCCTAGACCAGGATCCCAGCCTGCAAGTAAAGGCAGGCCTTCCCTGGAGCCACCTGGGAGCCCCTCCATGGGAGAGCACTGGCCAGGCCCCATGAGCACATCAGTTGAAGCCAGGAGGCCCCAGGCAGCCTCTCATAGGCTCTTACAGACTGAGACCTCCCAGCCTCTGGATCCCTTCCAGGGCTGCCTGCAGAGCCAACACCACTCCTCTTGGTAGGCAGTCCTGCAAATTAAATGCCTTCATTTAGACTCTTCCAAGGGCTAGGTCACATCAGCATCCTTGTGCCCATTCATTCATTCATTCGAGTTCTGTTGGTACCTTTCACGTGCCAGGTCCCTCCTTCTTCCCCCTTCCCTCCTCCCAGCTCGGGCTGCCAGAACAAGACACCACATACTGGGTGACTTAAACAGCATTTATTTCTCACAGAGGCTGGGAAGTCCAAGGTCAAGTTGCCAGCAGATTGAGTCTCCGGTGAGGACAAGCGTCCAGGCTTGTAGACAGCCGCCATCTTGCTGAGGCCTCACATGGCAGAGAGAGGACAAGCTCTGGTTTCTCTTCCTCTTCTTAAGAGGACACTAATCCCATCATGGGGGTCCCAACCTCATGACCTCATCTAAACCTATCTCCCATCCAAAGGCCCCACCTCCAAATACCATCACATTCATTCATCAACATATGAATTTTGGGGAGACACAGACATTTGGTCCATTACATTCCCTTAGCTAATACATGTTTACTGAGTACCTACTAGGTACCAGATGCTAGGGTTTCAAACAAGAACCAGACAGGCGCCCTAGTGAGCTTCTTCTTTGTCTAGCAGGTGGGACAGAATACCCAGACATTTACAATTTGGGCTAACAAGTGCTGTGATGTGAACGTGGTTTGCATGTAAACAAGGAGCTTGGGGCATCGGGAAATGGACCCAGACTTGGAGAGTTAGTGAAGGAAGTGGCATCTAAGTTGACGCCAGGCTGAGTTGGTTGGGAGAAGGAAAGTAGGGAAGGATGTGCAAAGGGCTGGAGGCCAGGACCTTCAGGGAAGTGACAGCAGCCAAGTTCAGTCTGAGTGGAGGGTGGCAACTGAAGGAAGGGGAGGGAAGGATAGGACACTCGAGAGATGAGCCTAGAGAGGAAAGAAGGAGCACGATCAGGAAGATTCCTCCCCGGCTTAGAACCTTTAATGAGGGGCTTCCTTGGTGGTGCAGTGGTTGGGAGTCCGCCTGCCGATGCAGGGGACACGGGTTCGTGCCCCGGTCCGGGAAAATCCCACATGCCGCGGAGCGGCTGGGCCCGTGAGCCATGGCCGCTGAGCCTGCGCGTCCAGAGCCTGTGCTCCGCAACGGGAGAGGCCGCAACAGTGAGAGGCCCGCGTACCGGAAAAAAAAAAAAAAAAAAAAAAACCTTTAAGGAGTTCCCTTTGCCCACAGGACAGATATCTCAGCTTCAGAGATTAGCGCTCAGTGTTTTCATGGTGTCAGAACTCTTTCAAATGATGGAACTTTTTCAGATGCAAGTTGCAGAAACCCGATTTAAACTTGTTTAAGAACAACAAGGGACTTCCCTGGTGGTCCAGTGGTTAAGAATCCACCTTCCAGTGCAGGGGACGATCCCTGGGCAGGGAATTAAGATCCCACATGCCACGGGGCAATTAAGCCCACATGCCGCAACTACTGAGCCTGCGTGCTCTGGAGCCTGTGGGCCACAACTAGAGAGAAGCCCGCGTGCCGCAATGAAGAGCCCGTGCACCTCGATGAGAGATCCTGCATGCCACAACTAAGACCCAATGCAGCCAAAAAATAAATAATAAATAAATAAATAAATATTTAAAAAGAAAATGGTTCCCTGTGGTCAGGGGCCACACAGTTGTCAAAAAAAAAAAAAAAAAAAGAAGAAGAACAAAACAATTACTTCATGTCACTGAAAACTCTGGGTCACCTGTAGTATAAAGGATTTGGCCCACCACGACAACCCTTGGATTCTTGTCTCTGTCCATTGTCATGGGCACTCAGCTGCTTCTTAATAAGACCAGCAGCTATCTGAGGGGAAGGATCCTGTGGAATCCTGTCTCAGCAGACGACAGGCACAGACTGACCCCAGTAAGGCTGGCCTGTGCTGTGCTGGGTGTGCTGCAGGGTTCAGCCTCTGGTCCCAGCATCAGCTGGCATCGGCTCTGTGACCTTGGGTACATTTATGGCCTTGGCTTAGAATGGCCACAGAATGCAGCAAGCGGGAGCTGAGCTGAGCCCACCCGTCCTGGGGACGAGAGGATGGACCAGGTGGTCTTTGCCCTGGGGGTGAGCCCAACGGTGACCCTCCTACCACCACCACCAATCCTCCTCTGTCTCCTGGCGCCGGAAAGGCACCCATCGCGGTCCTGCTGCGACTCAGTCATTCAGGGAGACTGGGGAGCTCTGTCCAAGCCCAGGAGCTGCAGGCAGCTGAGGTGGAGGGAGCCCCGCCCTGCCTGCCCCTCGCGGACGGCACTCCGTGCGGGCCGACCCCACCTCCCAGGCGCCCGGGCTCCGCGGGAGGCAGCAATTCGCCACACGGTGGCGCTCCTGCCTACTTTTCCTTTAGCAAAAACCAGCCTGAAAACTCTATCCATCTATCTATCTATCTATCTATCCATCCATCCATCCATCCATCATCCATCTATCTAATTACTGCTTAAATTACAAGAATGAAATATGATCAGAGTAGAAAGAAGAAAATAAAATATGCACCTCCATCCTGACGTGTATCCTTTTAATTTCCCTCCCTCTCTCCCTGCCTCTTCCCCCCTCCCTTTCTCTCCCTCTCCTTCCTCTCCCCCTCTCTCCAGTCTCCCTCTCCCCACACATACATATGTGTGTACAATGTTTTCGATTCAAACAAATCTTTATTGGCCCTTTGCTCTTGGGTACCACACAGGCATTATCTCCGTCGGTCTGTGAGCTCAACCCTCCCATCCTCCTGCCTCCAGGAGTCTCGAGACGGGGACGGGCAGCTTCCTGGTGGAAGACCACGGCGTGAGGTTCTGGGGTGCCTTCACTTCACAAGATGGTTGGTTCGCCTAGAGGAGCACGACAGGAAAGAGGGGCTTCGAGAAATCAGGGAAGGCAGGGAAGCAGGGCGTACAA